GGTGTTCCATTTAAAAAAATAAAGTTGCTAGGACTTTTTGAAGGAAGTGGCAACGCCACAATGCTGAAAATATTTTAGATCGATAGAACAGGTAAGGAAATGTGAGAGGTGAAATTTTCAGAAAAATTATGCTTTGCGTTTTCCAGAAACGTCTAACCTACCATCGACCGTGAGTAACGCTGTATATTACAATATTTGGGGCGGTCCGCGGGTCAACCTTTCGCGGTCCGCAAACGGATCGCGGTCCGCCTGTTGCTAATCGCGGATCTAGAGTGCCAGAGTATAACGTATGCTATTTTTTTGTATTTCAAAATATATTTTAAATCATTGTTAATTATAAACCACCTCTTTTCGATTTCCAAAAAAATGTTGTCGTTTATATTGTTTTTCAGTCCAGTTGAAGTAAGAAGAAAAAACACTTTACTACATAATTTGGGGATGTGTTCTGAATTTTATAAATTCTGTCGTATAACCTATTCGTTAGACCACCTCCAATATAATGATACCTTTTTAAAAATTTGGATGTAGTGATTGACTTTGTGTCCAACATATCAATTATTTCTTCGTCAGTTAGCTATCAATGTACCATTTCGTGATTACGTATTGTATTCACAAGGAACATTCAAATTTCAAATAGTCATACTACCTTCAATGATTTGATTTCAGAAAAGGCACTTGTTGAAACATTCAGACTGATATTTTGATTAATTTTTGATACGCATATATAAAATCATAATGTTCCATCACACTTTCAAACTGACTGAGTATAAATAATGGAAAATATTTAATTTTACTATGGTTCGCTCCTGGAACACTGAACAGGTGTACATAATAACTCACAGCTCATTTTATCCTATTCTTCAGGATATAAAGTTGGGGTACGAATAAGACTTTTCTAATTTCTGGTTTATTCATATACCCTTTCAAACCCAAAATGGAATTTTCAGCAAATTTTCTCGTCTACAAATCCATTATATCCTTAAATGAACATAAACCACAGAAAATTGTATTCGAAATGGAAACTATTTGCTCTGGATATACGTGCGACTGTTTTATTCATTACTTCAGGTGTCGAGACTCCTCAGCCGACAAATTCAAACTAGTACAGAATATTTATGTTCCCAATCTGAATATACGAGTAGGTATCTATGCATTACATGCGCTGATGTTTTCTATTCTTTCTTCCCCTTTTTCGACCTGGTTAGTGACCAATAGTGAATTGGAATTATGGTGGTGTTGAATTTGGTAACAAGTGAAAATAGGTCTTATTTATGTTAGAAATACTTTAATACGTTGAGTGCTTTCTTACCCCGAAGTTGTTTACAGTCTTCAATGAACTTTTTAGTTGCGTAAGTCCATGAAAGTTACACGTAATTTTTTTCATGCGATATGAAATTTTGCATCTAGGCATGCGGGATATTATGGAAATAATTAGCTGAGTAAATTCTCAGACTTTTGCCAGTGAATACAACACGCTTTTATTTTGTTGATTTGCATCTGAAATTTATTGACATCGATTTATACAAAAAGCACTTTATCCTATTCAAGTTTGTATTCCAAACATTCGAATTGAATCAGACATCATTCACGGGATTTCTACACAATATAGCATATGAAAGAGGTGAAATTTCACCTACGAGGAACACTTTCATCCTCAATGGCGGACATCCATTGTTTCGGATTAAGCACTTGGCTTATTGTCCCTTCAGCACCAATATGGATATGATTACAAGATGAATCACTCACTTCATTCATGAAATTACGTCAGAAATGAGTTGAATCTACTCATCGATGACAGTATGTAATGATTGTAATGACATTCATAGGAGAGATTGATTTTCGGGAAAAAAGGTTTGGCTTT